GCATGGGCTGAGTACAGCAGTGAGACACAGCAATGTGTGTGAGAATGTGTGAAGAAGACTGCAAAGTCTTTGGTTTAGCTTTCACTTTAGTACATTTGTGGTTTTAAACTGTGACATCCATGTCTGCAGCACAGCTACTACAAACCACAAAAAGGCAATGAAGCTCAGATTTCAATGCTTCAGTGTTTAGATTTATAGTCAAACTATAAAACATTGCTCAAAATAAATAACAATATTATGCTTTAATGTTTCCTGCTGAGAAAGTCACTAACTGCCTGCGCCCATCTAACCAGGGTCATGTTTACATGTCAATATCTTTATAGACGCAATTTTATTTTATTTTTGTGCCTTTTTGTTTTATGTTTGTCAACTACTGCTGTCTTTATTTCTGTATTAACACAGTTATATATTTATTTGCGTGACCTCTTTATAGTAATGTATTGTTATCAAACTAAATGAAACAAGAAATGCCTTCACACTGAGCTACCAATGGCCTTTAAATTTAAACTCTTACCCAATGTACAAAATTATGTCGACAGCTTTGTCATAAGAGGTTTAACCACTAGAGGGCGGTATGTTGGCGAGTCGGGGGTTTCCTCTGTGCAAAGATATTTTATGTACAAGTGATAGATGACTCTAGGGCAAATTGTTGCATAAGAGATTCTCTCTTTTTCAACACAGCAACACCAACTGTTTTGTATTTTGAGTGTTATATGACACTGAACAACACGTAGAGACCGATAAAACGGATTAAATTCAATCTCCACCGATGTGTTGTGGCGTCGGCTGAAGACAGGGATCCACAGTGGTGGGTTGTCTTCAGGAGCACAGCCTGCCATCTTTGCGGTGCACATCAGATAAACACTCGTCTTGGTGTTTTGTTGCAGCTTGTTAGCTAGAAATCTCAAATGTGCCATCGAAAGTAAGAGGCACACCATCAGGGCTTATTATTCAGCTACTTTCTAAAGCTAGTGTTTGTTTGTTGACAGCGACAGGCGTCGTCATACAGGCGTCGTTCTCCCTGGTCGTTCAGCCGAGGGGAATTTCATCTGGTCGTTTTTTTCCTGTCGTTTAGTATCAAGGATATTTAGTTATGTAATGTGGCGGTAAGCTGTTGATGATAGCTGAACACCAGTCTGCTTTGCTTTTCTTTTTTCCCCCCTCTTTTTTGAACATACGCCTGTGTCTCCTTAACATTTCGGTGGCAGTAGTTCGGATTTAACAAATCATGGGGAGCAGCAGAGTTTACATTAGCATTGGATATGCTACCTTTGGCACCCTGGTTGGACTTTCGGCTTTCTTGGTGTGGAACATCGCATACAAACAGCCATGGACGGCGGCCATGGGAGGCCTGTCGGGTATGTTAACACACTTACAGCCATTACTGTAATGTTAACATGTTGACAAAATGATATTGGAGCGTTTAACTTAACCAGGCCTGCACAGTCCTATCATATTACATTTGTTGTTGTTGTTTTTGTTGTTGTGTTCTTTATTTACTCTCACTGTTTGTCACTTCAAGCTTTACAACGCATATCCTGTCAGTATTTGTTTTGAATTTGTTGTTATTAGTATTATAATATAGGTCACACTTTGGGATCAGGTTTGTAGTTTCCTCAGTATCACTTATCATAGCATTCACTCACTGTGCCATAAAGAATACTAGTTTTAGGGAATGTCACTTATTTTATTATGAGTCCAAATGTGTTATAGCCTCAACAATATTGGGTTTTTAAGGCTAATATTGGCATTACATAAACGCATTACAGTTGACCAACATACCTACTGAGAGTGACATTTTACATTTGAAAAATCAACTTGTAATCTAATAGAGACACTGAATAACCTCAAACCAGTTATTAAAATATAGTCTCTATGCTGCATGGGCGTAGTTTTAAGTTGCACTTAATGAATGTGTGTGTGTCTCTTCTGACAGGGGTTTTGGCTCTCTGGGCTCTTGTCACACACATCATGTACCTGCAGGACTACTGGCGCACCTGGCTCAAGGGCCTCAAGTTCTTCATCGGTGTTGGTGTGCTCTTCTCAGTTTTGGCAGTGGCTGCCTTCATCACCTTCCTAACTCTTGCCATCACACATGAGCAATGTAATCCTCTCTCTGTTGTTCTTACTTTATAAGGAGTACTGTTCAGTATAATAGAGATTTCAAAGATAACACTATTAACAACTCATATGCTTTTTGACTCAGATGATTGATTTCCTGATGTATGTAATCATCAGCCTGCCTTTTTTTTACTTCCCACAGCTCCCACTGACCCGAGGAGCCTCTATCTCTCCTGCGTGTGGAGCTTCCTGACACTCAAATGGTCCTTCCTCTTGGCTTTATACTCGTATAGATATCGCCAGGAGTTTGCAGACATCAGCATCCTCAGTGATTTCTAGTCAGTACTGATTTTAAAGACTGTGATGGACGTCGAGGGGTTTTAGGCTGCCAGCAGGAGCTGGTCAAAGAGCTTTTGTTACAAAGAAGAGGAAAAGCAGACATGGCTAGATTAAAAAGTCATCTGACTTTTACCACATGGAGTTGGCACTTGTTGCACTTGCTTAACAAGCTCTGTATTTGTATTGTAACCTGTCCTACTTCTAATGACCCACATATTATATCCCTGTAAGTAGTCATAAGTCTAAACATCTAAAGACTGGAACTGCTTTTGAATGAATTGCTCAAGGCTATTAATGAAGGGGCATTCAGGTGGTTTTTCAGACATATTTTTGTCATGGGATGGTTTAATCTTAAAACAACTAAGGAAAAACGCAGAACAAGGAAATCCCCACCTTTAATCTGATCACGAGTTATTAAAAAGAAAGTGATAGCTGAAGTCCTCAGAGCCAAAACTAAAACCTGAACGCTGTACCTGAAGCCACTCTGCTAATGCTAGGTTATAGTTCCTGTTGGAGTGCTTGAATGTTTGTATGAGCTTTTTCCACATTTGCAGTTTTGAGCCACAGACGATTCATATCTCCTGTCTGCAAAGTCTCTTAGCTCCCTTCTTCATCAGTGAAGCAATTTAAGAAACATTTTTCAAAATCTACAGACTTTATTTCTCTCTTTATATTCCGCTGTTCTTTTCACAAGAACTAAAGAAAAGGCATTCCTGTGGAATTTGTGCTTTTCATCTTTTGTTCCACAAGGGGGAGACTTTCTTTTTTCTGTCAAGAGCCTGCTTGATAATTCTGGCATTCCTCTTCAGAGAAAACACATGGATTTGATAAATAATTGCACTTTAGTCTTGATATTGACGCTGTTGTTTTGCACACAGATTCTGATACAATGGAAAAAGAAATCATGTTTTACACATTGTCATCTCTGTCTCACCCTTTTTAATGTTGAAATACACTATTTAAATGTATCATTTATTTTACAGTTAGTATGATTTGTGTAAGTCAAGTTAAACTAGGCTTTGTAAGTGGATTAGCTCCAGCTGTTGCTTATGTCTACCTTTTACCTTAAAATATGTTTAAATATATTTTTGTTGAAGAGAGAATGAATGTGTGGATGCTACATGTGTATATAGTAACGGAACCCATTAAAGTTGCATTTATTGTTAATTACATCATGTTGTCTTTTGCTCTGTACTACACACACATACAGCAGCACAACAAATCAACACTTTAAGGGATTCAGCTGTCCCTGTGCGTGCTGAAAGTTTTCAAGCTTTTCAGTTTCTAAGCTCCACCCAGAAGGTGTAGAGAGTCTTTAGCTAGTTTGATAAGTAATCAAACTGGGCAATACATGTATTTGAGCCAAATGCCTGCAGACGTGCTTCAGCAATAAGGTACAGTGCTGTCTTTTCGGACTTCTATATTAATACAGAAGTAGATATTCTAAGTATAATACTAACATTGAAATCAATGTGTTACGAGGGCAGCTCATTACTTGCTCATATTTTATTTAATTTATCACTGACATTGTAAGAGGACAAACATTTTAAGAAAGACAATTGCACAAATGAATCAGAAAAAAAATGTTTCAAAAGCACATTTTTTGACTGATTGAAAAGATGTATTATCAACAGGTGTTCTTTTATTAAATATTGAAGAATCTCTTTGCAACTTCATCCTTATATTCAGTTATTTCGCCTTAAGCTTTACCCTCCTGCCTAATCACTTTACAGTATGACAACAAATGTTTGGCGTAAATAAATTATGTAAACAAACAAAACAATTAATTTACGCCAATGTGAATAAATTATGTTTTTTGTTTGAAATTAGTAATTTCCTGTCATGACATCTAAACAATAATTTGACAATATTTTACATTTTAAGTAGTAATATGCTCATGTTTTTAACTGTTAACTTTTTAATATAGAGTTTCTTTTAAAACATGGATTGTGGTACTTGTGAACTTGACTGTGTGCTATTATTTATCTGGTGTTGAACAAATATTTAGCAGTCCACCAACCTGTTGGCTGATCTTCACCCTTCAAGGTTAGATTAGGGCCTTGTTCTTGAAATATGCCACTTAAACGTAATATGACAATTGCGCAATTCTAAAGATCCCCATGTTTCCACAACCATATAAATATAATCCCTAAATCAATTGAACTAGGCTTGCTTTTGTTTAAAATGTGCAAACTAATTTTAAGCAGTGGTGAAATGTCACCAAGTAAATTTCCTCAAGTACTGTACTTAAGTACATATTTGATGTACTTGTCTTTTCTTTTCATGTCACTTTCATCTTCTACTCCGCAACATTTTTAGAGGGAAATAAAATGTAGTCTCAATTGATTAATGGAGAGAAGCACATAAATCCATTAGAATAATCATTAGTTGCAGTCTTATAAAATGGTTAAAAATTAGCTCAACCTCAACCAACTACAACAGTAAAATTTTGTTTTTGCATTATTAGTATAATAATATAATAGTCAAGTGCATACATATGTGGTGAATTATTTGTCAGTTGGTGTTATTCCTTAAATTGCACATTGAGGACACAGTATTAGAGAGACTTTTCTGTTTGGTCATAATATGTTTCAGTATGCTGTAGCCATGCACTCGAACCGCCCACGTTATGCGATTGATAGGCCGGCATACAACCTCCCAGATTTTGACAGAGAGTTTGACAAGAAGAGTCGACAATTCCCTGTTGGAGAGAAAGTGAAGAAACTCTTCAGGTACAGAATTACAATCTCTTTGCCACAGTCAACACAAACTACATGTCTTCCTATCACACAATTTCTACCCCTGACAAGCTTTGTGTTGTGATCAAATAGTGCAGAGCCCTGTAGCTAGGACTCAATACAAAGTTTAGACATGTGTTTAGGACTTTTTCAAAGAAACAACCATAAAGAGTTTCTCTTGTTTGTTTCTGTCAGATGCTCTGTGTCGAGACTGAAGGGCTTGTTATTCAGACATCTGCCTGTGCTTAGCTGGCTTCCCAAGTACAAAGTGAAAGAAAACCTGCTATGTGATGTCATCAGCGGGGTCAGCGCTGGTACCATTCAGGTTCCCCAAGGTCAGTCAATTCTCTCCTCCCTCTGATGCCTCTGCATAATGCACACTCACTGATGCTAGTTGCTGCAGTGTTGGCTGCAGTTTATGACATAGTTTTTGTATTTTTCTATGTTATGATGATTTATGTGACAGTTATAAAAAGGTTTCTGTTCTTTCCAGGCATGGCATTTGCCCTCCTGGCAAGCCTCCCTCCTGTCAACGGTCTCTATTCTTCTTTCTTCCCCCTCATCCCTTATTTCTTCATGGGCACTGCTCACCAGATGGTCCCAGGTAAATCAGAGTGATTTATCTACAGCGATTTCATATAATGACAGTGATAAGTTGCCAGAGCTGCACAGTGCAGATCAGCTGTGCTCAGCCTGACTCTGCCCAGTTTGCAGAACGGCACAGAAAATAGACGTGACATACTGCTTTCTATGTCTAGGTACATTTGCTGTCCTCAGCATTATGGTGGGAATCGTGTGTCTTAGGCTGGCCCCAGAGTCGGACTTTAGTCATTTCAATGCCACTCTTAATGCTACAATAGTGGACACAGACCTGATGAATGAGGTTCGCCTGGGGATATCTGGAACCTTGGCCTGTCTCACTGCAATCATACAGGTACTCATAGCACTAAAAGATTAGTCTTTTAAAGTGAAATTTAAAAGATAAATAAATAAATGTGAAGTACAGTTAGATCTAAATGTGACACACTAAGAACTACTTATGTCTGTGTAGATTGGCCTTGGCTTCATGCAGTTTGGGTTTATAGCCATCTATCTGTCGGAATCCTTCGTCAGAGGCTTCATGACTGCTGCAGGATTGCAGATCCTCATCTCAGTGCTCAAGTACATCTTTGGCATCAAAGTACCACCTTATAGTGGTCCGCTGGCTGTTATATATGTAAGCGACCCTTTCATACTGTGACCAAAGAACATCAAGACTTTGCTTGTATGGTCTGCTAATAAAATAAAATAATAAAATTCCATTTTAATTCTTTGTCACAGACTCTCATAGATATTATACGTGGCCTTCCTGATACCAACATAGCATCGTTACTATTTGCACTGGTCAGCAGCGTAGTACTGATTGTGGTGAAGGAGCTGAGTGCACGCTACCGCCACAAGCTGCCCTTCCCCATACCTATGGAGATCATTATTGTAAGTTGTTTCAATCTGTTTAATTTCGTGTAGCTGTTGCTCAGATTTTTTAATGGATGGAATATACAGTACAGTTCCATAATGACTGATCCCTATTCCTGTTCCACACAGGTGGTGGTGGCCACAGCCATCTCAGGCCCTCTGCATCTTCCTGAGATCTATCACATGGACATAGTGGGAGAAATTCCTTTGGGGTAAAGCATACATCAGCATACTTAATATAATAATATATAATAATAATAAATAGTTTTGCTTCATGAACTATGATCATCAACTAATCATGCAACTCATTTGTTACTATTCAATTTAGATGTATTTCTTGTCTCTATTTTCCAGATTCCCTGCACCAATCCTGCCCACAGTGAGTCAGTGGGAAGACATGTTGAGCACAGCGTTCTCCCTGGCAATCGTGGGGTATGTCATCAACTTGGCTATGGGCAGGACACTGGCAGCCAAGCATGGCTACGATGTGGATCCCAACCAGGTAGAAAAACTGCATATAATTTACGAGTTCAAAAGCTGTATTTTATTCCATTTCATAAATACCACCTGCATGTTGATGTACAGGAAATGTTGGCTCTTGGCTGCAGCAATTTCCTCGGGGCCTTCTTTAAGATCCATGTGATCTGCTGTGCCCTGTCTGTGACCCTGGCTGTGGACAATGCTGGTGGAACATCACAGGTGTGTCTTGTGTTACTGTGTTCAATTTCATGAAAAATGATATGGACTAAATAGAAAATAATATCTCAAACTGCTAACTAATGCACCTCTGTTGCTGCCCTCCCATAGTTTGCCAGTTTTTGCGTGATGCTGGTTGTAATGGTTACCATGCTTGCATTGGGAGCCTATCTAAGACCACTTCCAAAAGTAGGTGGACATAAGAGTATGATATTGGTGCCTATCTATCTATCTTTAAGTAGAGATAGGAGAAAAGTCTAGGGCTGATTGGTGATCTGTGTAATGTTGGTTTCCTTAGTCAGTACTTGGAGCCTTGATTGCAGTCAACCTGAAGAACACACTCCTACAGCTCTCCGATCCCTATTACTTATGGAAAAAAAGCAAATTAGACTGTGTAAGTTAAACCCTTGGATGCAATATTGCATTGTTTTTTGTTGTTGTTGGTGGTTTTTTTTTTAAACATATTTTAGCTTATTCTATTGTTCTTTCTCTTCCAGTGTGTGTGGGTTGTGTCGTTCTTGGCCACATTCTTTCTCAGCTTGCCTTATGGAGTTGCTGTCGGAGTAGGCTTTTCCGTCCTGGTAGTGATATTCAAGACACAGTTGTGAGTAAACGCCATACAATATGCTCAATTTTTGAAACTTAATACAATGCAGCAGGGTGTAAACTGTATATTAATATTATATTCATTTTAATTATATTCAAATTTAATAATAATAATAATAATAATATTCCTCATAGTCGTAATGGTTCGGCAATGGTTCAGATTGTGGACACAGATATCTACAAAAACCCAAAGGTGTACAGCAAGGTATGATAACTAAATATATTTGTGCTTTTTTGTTGTTACAAAATGTAAGGGGAATTGTATCTAATTTCTTTGTAATAACTCCACAGGTCATGTCAATAACAGGTGTGAAAATAGTGAACTATTGCTCACCGCTCTATTTTGCAAATGCTGAAATATTTCGCCAAAGGGTCATCAAAAAGGTAGGTTAGCAGCCCGGTTTGAATAAATGTGTCTGTATGGCATATGTGTGTTTACATCTACATGCTTTCGTCTAGACCGGTCTGGACCCTGGCAAACTTATCCTGGCCAGGCGGAAGTTCTTAGAGAAAGAACAGAAAGAAAAGGCAAAAGAGGAGAAAAAGAATAAGGTGACAAAAAGGAGGAAACCCAGCTCTTTGGTCACAATGAAGGCTCAAGTATGACTTTTAATGGGTCATGATTCCAATGTTATTCCCCACTTAGTTAAATATTAGAAAGATTTTCTGAAAATACATCCTGTGACCTTTTCTGTATACTTTTCTCTCTGCATTTCCTCTAAATCTAGACCATATCTCAGCTTGAACTGCAAAATGACTTTGATATGAACAATGGCAGTGCCAACAAACCTGAACCTCCCACCAGCTATGTCAACTTCCGCAGTAGTGACATTGAGCTGGGTGAGCAGGCACCTAACCAAGAGCCACCCAGTCCCACTGCTGTCACACTGGAGTCCCACCCCATGCCCTTCCACACCCTCATCCTCGACTTGGCAGGGGTCTGCTTCATAGACCTAATGGGCATCAAAGTATTGACAAAGGTTAGAGGCTGTTTGCACGACTATTGAATTCACTCTTAAAAGAAGTGGTTCCATACTGAGCCTTTTTAGGTTTTGTATCTTAGTATACAGTACATGGAACCCCTAAAAGGTTCAACAAGAACCATTTTACAGGGTTTATTCAAAATAAGTTTTGAGGTTCCTGAAAAGCATGAAGCATGAAAAGGTTTTTTTTAGATCACAGAAAAAGTTCCATTAAATTAAATAACAACAACCACACTAAAAATAATGATGATGATGATGTTATACAACATTTATAGGCTAGAATTCCATACGTTGTTTTATCTTAACCAGCAAAAATCTACTTACTAGCTAGGTTAGCCTTAACTGACATTTAACTGACATCTAGGTTAACTTACACAGGCATAATCAAAGCATGATTCAACTTTCCATTTTCTCATGTTGAAATGTTTACTTCCAAATATTTAGAGATAGTGAAAGTGAAGAGAAATGTCTGAATAAAAAAAGAGAAAAACTAACCTTGATTAGGCTAAATTGGGTTATGGCAGACTGCCTATAGCTCTCCCCTCCAGTAGCCTGCAAGTTAAAGAACCTCTGACATATAAAAGGGACTATTTTCTGTATAAATCTAATATTGAACCTGTGACAAAATGTTCTTTGATTTGGGAGACTGAACTTCTATCCCTCTATGTCCCACACAGATGAACTCGAGCTACACAATGCTGGGCATTAAACTATACCTGGCTAATGTTCAAGGTAAAATCTTAAATGACTTAAGTGCATTTCACTCTTGTTGGCTCTTATGAACAGTTGGCATGGGAACAGAGACCTGGTCATTCATTCAACATTAAGTCCATAACATCTGTGAAGGACACTGTTAGAGTAGTCCTGCAATTGCAAGTCAGAGATTATGTGTTTTAACACTTGTCATAGGGTACACATGCCTTCCATTTCCTAGTGACATAAAGCGGTGATTCACACTAATAATTTACTGTGATTGATTACCTTTAAGCATCAAATCAGTGTTCTCCTCTTGGAAAATTAGATTTTTCTTTAAATACCACATAAACGTAAAGGGAAGTCCTTTTGTGATATTTGTTGTCTTTCCGCCTGCAGCCCAGGTGTATGAGGAACTGGAGGCTGGAGGAGCTTTTGATGACGGCAATATTGCACGCAGTAATCTCTTCCTTTCTGTCCACGACGCCGTTCTGTTTGCTCAGCAGACCACTGGAGAAAGGCGATTCTCCTCAAAGGTAGGTCCCTCTGTATAAAATAACCTTATCATACAAATCCTTTTCATAGCATCACATACAAACCCCTGCTGTTCAAAGGTTCTGGTGTTAGGGACACATGGAGAGATTAAGTAAAGAAAAGCAAGATTTATGCCCTAAGTAAGAAATTCCTCTTTTAGCACAGCTTTTGTCACCTTATCTGGTTCAGCGAGTGTAAACAGAAATATCACAAAGGTTTTTGTGACACATTAAGCGCCACCACAAACAGAGTTGTAAGTTACACCAAGGTCATATTACATGCTGTGTACGTGATTTTGTCTTCTCTTACTGCCTGACAGGCAGCTTTTTAAGCATTTGACAGGACAGACATTGTCTTCAGCAAGGATAACAATGTTGCAAAATTGAGCATCTTTAATTCACAATTCATTAAGGGATATTATGTATGTGTTCCCAGTCTTAACTTGCAACACAGAATGCTGTAGCTCCTCCCTCCAGTTGCTGCAAGTCAAAACTCCCAGGCAGCTCTGTAAAAACTGGTGGATACTCAGAATGACTTAAATGTGGACGTTTCATTACAAATTGTAACCTGTAATGTAACCCTCTAGTATGTGATTACTTTAAAGCTCACTTTAGAGCTACTTTTGCCTCTATCATTCTGTGTGTATTCTACTACCACCGTCATTATTGAATGGGGAGCAAAGTAGTGTTTGTGTGCATGCCTGTTTGACTTTAAATATGTATGTTCACTTTGTTGGCTGCAGGCAGAGAAAGCCAGACATGAACTTGCTTTTAACATGAATGAGGACAAGGATCTGGAGCAGGTATGCACTAGTCTGCTCATACAAGCTGATGCAAAATGACAATTTTGCATTTTATTCATCATGAAGTGATATTCTATAACTAAGATTAGTTTTACTTTTACAGGAAATGTTTTAGCACTGATTGCTGTCTGATTGCTACAGTGAAGATTAGCAGAAGAAAAATGCTGGAGATACTAACAAGTTACAGCCATCTTGGATGTCACTGTAATTTATGGAAGTCTATTGTTGCCAAATTACATTATGTGCTTGATCTTGTATCTTTTTGCTGACTACCAATTATCTAAATAAAATGTTTTACTTTGTGGTTTGACAGGGGGTGGTACAAACCAACACAAGGAAACCCCAATAAAAAGCCAGAACAGATAATGAGGGGAACTCAGTTCATCCACCCCTCACAGAATAACTGTGTAGTGAACCTGCTGACTTCGCAGTCATATAGAAGTGGTCTTGTAATTAACTGAGAGTGTGCATGGCCACAGCTGTGAGGTATAGCCAGCTGAGCAGTCTGGCTAAGTCCCTGTGGAGGCAAGACACCGAGAAAGGCTAAACACAAATGAAAGGAGAAATACATAGCATCAGCAGTTTCATGACTTTGTAGCCATGAAAACTCTATTAAGTACCACAGTCTCCATCATTTTCCATAAGGCCGAATAAAGCTACAACAACCAAAATAACACTTCTAATTGTTGCTAGTTGCATCAGTAGAGTGACTGTAACAAAGAAAAATATGTGGGCCAACTAACTTGTGTTTGTCTAGCAGGTGCTTAAAGGCCTGTGGTGTCTAGCCTAGCAGCAGGCTGACAGTGGTGTTGGTATGCTTGTGATGCATGAATGGATTTATGAAGCTATTAAGAAATCATCCTAAGGTATTCTGGCACACATCTGCTCCTCTGCTCTCCTTCCTCTCTGCAGCAAATTGGCACCACAAGTGATTACAAGGTTTCTATGGCCATCAGCTTTAATTTGGAGCTCTGGGAAAGTCTCTCATCACTTAATAGTGTGTGTGTTCAATTTCATCACCTGCTGCTCATCCTCCTCTTTCTTTTCTCCCTCATTGTTTTCAGACTGTCTGTAGAAGCCCTTTGCTTTGGCCTGATTTAATTAATTTGATCTAGGAAAATATTCAGGCTGAAATAATTAGTTTGACCATCGTTTGTCACAATGTTATGGGCCACTATGTCACTCTGCCCTGCATTCCTTGTCTTGTTTGAATGTATAAGAAAAGACTGTCTTTTCATATTACATTCTAATTATACATAAACATAAGCTATGTCCCAGTTGTAATTACATACGGATTCTAATGTGTTGATTAAGTAGTGGGTTCACACTGGAAAAGTGACAAAATTGAATCCTCTAACGGACACTAAGAAATACTAAAAAGATTTAGTATTTAGTAAGAAGAGTGTGTAGTTAATAGTCAAATAATGCAACGCACGGAAGAAATGGAGGAGCTGTGGACAGCTGCTAAAAGTCACAACAAATTATAAAGTATTAAATCTTTGGAAAAACTTTTCTTTGTGAAGTTGAACTGGCAGAGGCATTCCAACACAGCAATGTGGCACATGTATCATTTCCTGTACTGTACAAAATGAGTATATACTGCAGTATTGAATTGGGACACATGCTACCGTCTCTGTTATCAGTCAGGGTAAGCACAGTTGTGGGGTTGCAGTTCCTTGCTCAGGGGCGGTTTTCAGAAATAGATTTAACAGCAGTAACACTCTTTAGTTTCCAGCTCACATCTGAAATCCACACACTGATCGGTGCTAGGCGACCTTTTGTTACTCTCTCTGCCCTCATTACATTTAAAGTGAGGGTGTAATGCATTTATTCTTTTTCCTTTTATTTAAATTTATTGTAGGCTTTGGCCTATTTTGTGTTTTAATTTGACCTTCTTGATATTGTTCCTTATAATTACCCCTTATCAGTAAAGCTATAGGTAGAAGAAAACCTTATCCTTTCTGGAGGTCAAATGATGATTACATTAAATTATAAAATGCCTCTGGCTAAATCCGTTTTCAAATGAGATACTGTTATAATGGACTAGCTTCTCAATCCCTGTAATTGCAAGTTCACATAAAAATTAATTTTACACCCTTTGCACATTCATTGACCATGATGGTTTAATTAACAAGGTCCCTTTTAGAAATTTGAGACAGAGAGATTTATGTATTAAATTTGTTTACACGCCCAGTGGTTTCATACTATTGAGACTAATTGCATGGTGTCAGAGGGTATCTCCTTGTTGAGTCATGGGACCTTGTCATTTAGCACTCGCCGGCTTTTATGAAGAGCTGTCCCTGAGAGAATATTCAGCTCTGACCTTTCAGAATCAAGATTTAAATTTGGAGCGCTTTAATAAAGAGTCAGTAAGCCAAATTTTATTAAAAAAAGACTGTAACTTAAATTGGCTGTGGGCATGTAAGCGCCATCTGAGGTAATAAGGATAACAGAGCAACCAAAACCACTTCTGTAAATTTTAATAATGGCTGTTTGTCATTGATCAAGCAACAGCAGTTGGTACTTTGCATATGCATTATATATTCCTACTTTTGGGGATCTATTCTGCTTCATTAACAAACCAATTTGCAGGAATCATAAATCTTGATTGTGCAATGTCAGCAAATTGTCTTTGGACAGGGTTTGTTTACAAAGTTGCTGAAGGCAAATCTGACCACTGATAACTGGTATTAATTAATGTTGCGTATTGTCTCATTCCAGTAGTTCAACAGCAATCAAATGCACCAACAATGGAACATTCTCTGGTAATTAATTAAGGCATAAAATGATTGAGTCTGCGTCTCTGACTGGAGGATGGTTAATTATTTATAGTTAAATTAAGCCACAACCCCATGTCTGATGGAAAATACAGCGCAACCTGCTTGCCATTTTTGTTTTTTCCTTAGCAACTTGTAGATGCAATGAGTTCTTTCATTTCACGGTACCGTTATTGCATTAAAAGTAATCACTGTGTTAATTATTTCAAAAGACATTGACCTTTATGGATTGATAAAAACTACAAACAGAGTTTTAAATTCAGGCTGCAGAAAAGCTCCGAGATGTCTGTATTTTTATGTTTTTAATACATTTTGGGGGAAAGGAAGGAAGGAATTTATTTAAATTCCATAAACAGTATCATAAATGAAAGCTGGGACAAGAATATAAAGCTAAAGAAAGATAAACAAATTTGACCTTCCTTCTGAATATGCCATCAAGACAAAGGTAGATTTGCAGCTATCATGTGGGACAGATATGCAAATGAGTGTCATCAGCAAGGTTTTTTATCATCCCATCAACTCATTAAACAGAGCGGCAGGTACTGTTTGCTCTCCTGTCTTCTTATTAGATAAAAAATGCAGTGTGATGACTACAGATACCAGCTCCTTACTGAGCCGTTCAGTATCAGCGGGGAAATTAGACAAGACAATGCAAAACAACGCAGTGTGGTGCAACGCTAAGGGAACTCATTAGAACACTACAGCATGGGAGGAAGCCACATGATGCTTTGCAACATGTCATCAGGGGTGTTGTGAGTGTTATTACACAATCATAATTTGATAGCTTGTGCACAATTACTTCATTAATTTTGAGATTCTTGCATGATAAACTCACAGGCCAAAAGATGTAATATATTACGGTGGATCAGAGCTCATGATTGGCTGCAGGTTAAATTGATCTGAATTGATGTTTGCTATTTCATGTTGTGTGGTTTTTTCTTCAATGCACTAGTCTTTAATGTATTTGTCAAGGTTTAGAGTTACATTGACATTGACAGGATGTGGATGTGCTGTGAATACGTGGTTATAACCACAGCAACCCTGTAAGTTAACATGTTTTTGAAGGAGACAATGTTGTTTGAAGTGATGATTAGACTTATGCACAGTAAGAGTAAAGGACTGGTTGACAGGTCTTGCAGAACCATCAGTTTCACTTTAGCTACATCTTTACACGTTGACATACTGTATTAATGTCAGGCTTGAAGAATTGGACTGTCACAAGGGTGGCTCAACTGACACTTGAATCAGACTTTAGAGACAAAGACCAGCCGTGTCTGAGTGTCTAAATGTCTGTCAGACGGCGTAGGCTGAGACCATTAACCACACAAGCATTAGTGAAATTGCCCCCTGCTTCAGCTGCATAATATATCAGAATCATTAACACAAACATTTGCAAATTAGCTTTCCAGCAAGCTCTACATGAAAGCGCTCCATACAGTTCTCCATATAATACTCATTAACCTCAAAACACAAAGCTTACAAACTGAAAACAAAGGGAAATGGAGAAGAGAAAACTCAAATGGGTAGGAATTTCAGTGGTTTGCTCTCTTGTTGTTTGGTGTCCCATGGGTACCTCTGTCTCTGGTGCAGAGGAAACACACCTGTCTGAAACTCAGAGGAGAAATCTCCTGCTTTTATCTCAATAAACAGACAAGCCAGGCAGCCATTATCCAAAGAGCTTTACTGCCTTTGTTTACCTCTCTATAATGACTCACCTGTCATCAGGGGAATTTAACTGTGGTGGTGATTTATTAACTCTTTTAAATTAGAGCTAAATTAAATTCATCCATCTGATGCGCGAAGATTGACAGGGAGTCTATTGCCTGGTCTTTGAGCAATATTAGACTTAGGGACAGCGGATATGTAAAACATGATATTGTCTTAGCTTCAACACAATGTGCTTTTTACCATGCATGAAAAAGGCATCCTTTCCCTCACTTTTCACAAGTCAGTTGCAATTTACAAGTGAGATTTGTAGTTTGTTTTGTTGCAAATCTACATGCACTCCAGTACCCAAGACTGCACCCACAGCTTTGGTCATTTAACGTGTTTAGGCTTAGGAGTATTTTCCATTTATTGTGACAATACCACTGCTTGGTGATTCAGTGTGCCTTACTGTCTAAAAGCAGTTGTCTAACTGCCAGACGTTATGCCCATCTACTCACCTCTTTCTTGCATTTAACAACTCCAAATCATCAAGGTGTAAATGCTTCTCTGCTGCTCTTAGAGGTGCTGAATAAAACATAATATACAGTATTTGTCAGTTTAAAAAAATGTTTGAATTTATTTTTGTGAAAGTAAAACATATTACTCATTAAATGTATTCCAGTACTAGGGTAAAGCAGAATCAGATCACATGTCTTTTCATAATCTACTAAAGAATCGCAGAATGACTTTTATTGCTCTCTCTATGTGTACCATTGTGATAAAACAATATTAAACTACTCTCATTTTCTACTATTGCACCATGCAGAAGGCTTATTACAGCCATTTAAATCTGCTCATAAAACTACAACTCTAAACTGTCATTTCAATTATGTTGACTGTCTGCTGTAATGACCTATTGTGACCACAGGATGGCACTGTGGCTTTATCTGTAAACCCACTGAGCTGCTCTTGTCTGATCAGCAGTAAAAACTTTGAAGAAGTCTCAGATTCCCCCAAGGAAACCATGAAAGACAAAGTTGTGAAAGCTGGAGCCAAGGCGATTAAAAAAAAGTATGACTGTAAAAGAGCTGGTGTTGTGATCTTGTTTCCTGTGATCCATATATATTGAGCAAAGGGAGAGTGATGGTTGAGTGGGGACTGCAGCACCTCAGTGGCCCTGCAGATGAATGAAGATGCAAATGGAAGGAGGGGGAAGTTAAAGCCTTTAGTGACACTAAGCACACCCCAGAGGCCCTGGTGCAGAACTCTCAGCCTCAGCACATCAAGGACACAGCCCCTCTGTCTGTGCGTCCCCTTGGCACGCATCACATCCCGTCCATCTACATTTTCATCCAGACAAACACTTGAATCCTTATGCTATGCTGAGCCAATGACAAGAGACAGATGTGCTCTCCTCTGAGAATCCAGTTTGATAAGCCGCTGCTCCACAAACTATTAAATAACCCCAAGAAACCACCGGAGTAAAAAAAGAAAATGCCCTATTTTACATGAGAATGGATATGTCTGGAAACCGTACCCTCACACGTTGGCTTCGCCTTGGCTATAAATGTCAATTTCATGTCAGATCCTTTCTCTGTTCATCCATGACGTTTGTGATTGCTTCATCGTTTTGCATGAGAATGGCTTGAAATGAAGGTTGGCCGATTCTGGTGCTCATTTACAGTGCTCTGTAAATGCATCTGAAAGGGCCGGCAGACAATGATCAGGCTCTGCTTTGTAGAATATGAAATTGTGCACTGTACTGTAGATTTCTAAACTTATGCAGTGTGCTTCAACAGGCTCAAGTGTTTATAGTTTTCTAAGAGCAGCTTCCTGGTGGGACCTTGGCTATGCTAAGGATTGTCACAACCATGATGCAGGCCCCATGTGGCATTCTGTTTCTGTGAGTCATTCAGGCATACAGTACTCTGGCTTTCCTCTCCACTGGTTACAGAAATACAGGTGAGCCCACAGCAGGTGAACCTGTCATAGTCAGCACCTGCAGGATCCTAACAGCCAGCAGGGGAAAACTGAAGGACAGAGGAAGTTTTGTTGTGAAGAGTTCTGCTGTGCCACCTGGGAAGCTTAATGATGAAGGTGAAACACAATGTCCTGAAGACACATGGTGAGAAAGACAAACTGTTACAAAATGACATTACTATATGTAAAATAGGCTTTGCTTTGTGTGCTACATATGTAAAAAGAGATTCTTCTACAAAATTCAAATCAGACAATTCTAAACAAAGAAGAGCATTTAGTATGATATTAATATGGACGAAGAACATGCAGTGTCTGTTAGATTATTTAGGTCATCATTTAGGTAGTAATAAGTCAAAACTCAAATGCCCTTTTAGCCTTTTAGAGCGTTGCTCATATAGTTCTGCTTGGCACCATAATTTGTTTAAATGTTGATTTATGAACTAATTGTCTGTAATTGCTGCTTAGTGCCACTGTTAATCCAAGCTGTCTGCCTCCTGAAGCACATTAGGCCAGATTTGTATAATGAAGTAATTAGTTCAATTACAAAGAAGAAAGTACGGATAGCGTAAGAAACGGGTAACAAGAAGCTAGAAAGTACTCCCATGCCATGAGCGTGTTTTCTGTCTTGCTATTATGAAACATACTCACAGAGTATATGAAAATAGCCTTGTTGTGAGGAAATGGTTTTCTTAATTAAAACTTGCACATGTCAACAAAGTTAATTTGAATCTTCTAATATGGACATTTATTTATTCTGTTTGGGCTCAGTTGCCAGTTTCGCTGCAGCATCTCACATATCAAGTTATTTCAGCTTGCTAACAATCCTTCGCTACTTCACACGTTCAAAAAATATAGGTCTGTGTTTTCTATTTGGCTTCTGTTGCCCGCCAGAAGCTGCCATCACAACCAAGAGTGCTCCATTGTCTGCTAGCATTGTCATTGTTATTAGTCTTTTGGATTGCCTGTGGAGGTATCGGCAGGCTCCGGGGAAGCAGGCGCCAGGCTGGATAATTAGTTGTTCTTCGATGCCAGACGGGCACATTGCCGTCACTTGGAGGGGAAATGGAAAGTGGCATCACTATCACAGTAACACCGGAACAACCTTTGGTGTGAGGGCTGGGTTCCAGCGCATCTGTCACACCACTAGTCATCTACCCACTGGCAAGACAATAATGCTTACCAGTCTAGCAATACACAGCATGGATAATTACTTTATCTGAAACGGAATTATTTTTGTCATATTTGTCATAATTAGTCGTGGTGTGGTAGAATCGATAGTGGGTTTCTGTATTGGTTCCGGTGACGATTGTGGACAAAGAGACTGGAAGATTTTGCCATTTTAAATCCTCCATAAAAAAACAAGCAGAAAGAGTATGCACAAATGTTAGGTGTGCTGCAGACTTTTTATTTAACAATTTCATCCCCTGAGCTGCCTATTGTGCAGCCTCTGACCTCGCAGAAGCTGCATCTTCCAACATTACATCTCCAGCCACGAGCTTACTGCAGGAGCTGCTGGTGACCCTGGGGTGACGGCTGTGCTGGTTTCTACGGGAGATGCGGATGATGATGAGAAGTATAGAGATGCCTGCGAGCAAGGTACCTCCGAAGCCCAGTAGGATGCCATACAAAAGTGGCAGAGCTACATCCAAGGGCCCCTTCTGGTACAGAGGGACAGGAGCTCGCTCTACAATCAGATCCAGGTCACGCCATGTCAGATCCCGTACTAACAGACACACACACACAGGCCACGGCACACACACACGACACATCACACACACACACACCACACACACACACACAGAGCACAAACAGGATAAACACACTTACTACCTCAAAGGACTGCGGGAGCATTTTTGTCAAGTTTTAACTTGAATGAAGTACCAGGGAGGATTTTAAAAAAAAAATGGACAGGTGATAATTACATTTTTGAATTTCTAGGTATCCTGGGAAATACTCCTTGTATAGTGAGAGTGTTGATGTTGAGAAAGTAATGAGTTGGAAGCATGCCCACGGCCACCAAATCTAATCCAGCATCTCATCTAAACACTTAATAGATTCAGGGTTTGGTGAAACATTATATCATTTGTCATTCAGACAATCTCCAGAGGGATAACCCAAAAATCTCCTCTTGACATCAATAGCCAAAGATATTAGGGGCTTAGCGTGGCCACACATGTAAAGACTCAGCTCTCCATCACTAATTCTATTTTATAGTGCACCAAACCAATGTGACTCTGTCAAGCTTTAGGAAATTACCTCGTCTTTTTCTGACCCTCTGATCTTCCTTCTGGTGGTCCTCTGTTTCCGATTTTACTGGTGGGAAGTTTAAAGAGTTGACATATTTGTGATAGCCTTCAACAAAGCGTTTCAGGCTCAAGGCTTTGTCCTGGTTGATGTTCTTCCCCACTTCTGTAAAAAACACACAGCACAGAGACAATCTAAAAGTATTTCTTTGTCACTTCGCACGCAAAACGTGTATGTATTTCATCCTATAAAAGATTGTCAATTTGACTTTAATTGTTGCTTTCTTGCCCTGAAAACAATTCTGGCAGGAGAGCAACTGTTGTCCTTCATTTCCGAAAAAAACAGAATTAACCATTCAAGTTTCTACGTACGAGTATATCTCTTCAGAACTGCAATCAAGTGTACGATAATTGCTGAATTCTGTATCCACACAGTTTTTCGTTAAAGCTGTCAACCCCCCCCCCCCCCNNCCCCCCATAGCTCATCTCTTCCCATCCTCTCCTTGTCTTTTTTTTTTCTTTCTCCAAAGCTGATGATGAAAGGAGCAGATGGTTTGTTCTGTGGCTGGTGTCAGCTCCACTGAGTCCTCTGTCAGATCATTTACACCTCCTTCTATCCAACGCCACTCGGCTGTGGAGTTGTGTGTACACTGGACTGCAACACATGCCAAAGACTGGCACTGTGCAAAATATGCCACTTTTGAGGTTCCAATTAAAATGAATCTCAAAGTAATGAAGCAATTACGCGCTGTTGTTCAAGTCTTGAGGAGGCCTTCTTGACCGAAATAAACCAATTTTTGAAAGTACACCGCCATGTACCCAAATTAGGCTTTGTTCCAATTTCCTTTTGTCAAGGGACATGCTGAGATGTCTCCTAATGACATTTGCTGCTATGACAAACACTGTACTGTACATAAAAATGAACTATTATTACTTCTATTTGTTCTAACCCATTACATTAGTCGCATCACACATAATATTCAGTGAACACATGCTCTTTGTGTCCATTTGTCTCTCACCAATGGCAATATCTGTTCTGCCGATGTGCTGCAAGGCGCGAGAAAGCCTGTCGTAGTAGGTCTGCTTGCCGTACCTCAGCAGCCAGTCTGTCAGGGCCGTCCGGCACTGAGCTTCACTATCTAGTAAACACAAAACATATGGTCCTCAGACAGACAGGTCTCTGACAGTCAGCTTGCTGCCAGGAACTCCCCAAGCTGAGCTGGACGTGTGAGAAACAGACAGGTCTCAGGGTGGACTTTTCTTCATTTCCACTTTATTGCAGTTTACAGCCTGTAACTCTTAAAGGATCGGTTCACAATTTACCAAATATATCTTAGTTCATTTTAGATATTTTCAGTGTAAGCGATGGGGGACAAGATCCACTATCCTCTTGTTGTGCAAAATGCATACTAATAGTCAGCTGAAATGAATATGACGCTTCAGTAGACAAATCATAATCTTTTTAGTATAGTAAAAGGTTACCTCTTTGTGTTATGCCAGACAATGTTTCCTTGCTGAGCTGCAGTGAAAGGAGAGCAGCACAGAGACAACATTTTTGTAACTTTTGAAAGACACCCACTTATCGCAGACTGTTAAGGGTTAGGGCTCATAAATAACTTCAGCTGAACATTATACATTTTTGCACAGAAAAAAAACTGTGGATTTTGTCCCCCATCACACACACACCGAAATTGCTTTAAGAGGGGACAATTATCATTGTCAACAGGAGAAATAATTGAGGGGAAGAAGTATTCAGTTCTTTACATGCTACAAGTAAAGCAAAGTGGGGTTAGGTAAAAGTATGAAAGTATTATCAACTCTTTGTAAACTCAGAAAAACAGCCCTGTTTTCAGCATTCTCCTGCTAAAAGTTTTCTGTGTTAATGTTTATTTAGCTTAAGAAGTAGGGGAATTTTCTCAACCCATAAAGGAACATTTAATCCTTTAGTTTATCAGAAAAATTAAAATTCAAAATAACAAAATTGGTATACGTTTTTCACTGGAAGGGAATGAAAAATAATCTACAAAGTAGATAGTAGCTAAAGCTGTCATATAAATGTAGCGGAGTAAAAAGTACAAAATTTGTCTCTGAGATGTAATGGAGTAGAAGTATAAAGTTGCATAAAATTGAAATACTAGTAAAATTGCAAACAGTAAATTACAAGTCATTAGACATGTATGATCTCTGTGGACTAGAGTGCCTCAGGTCAAAGATTAGATGTGTTTCAGATGATGATGCGTACAAACCCGCAGCAGAAGAGGTGTCTCTCTTGGCTCGAGGCTTGAGGTTTAGTTGTTTTTTTCCTGGTGAGAGGCGCTCAAGATGCTGGAAGATGTTCTCCTCTGGGTGAGAGAGGGCGAACAGAAGGTCCTCACACTCTTTAGACGTCAGCAACTCCACTAAACGCTCCAGCTGATGGACACCAATGTCTTCTGCCACTAAATATCCATAACACATAAGTGATGAAGGCGTGACCATTATACAGTACACTGTAAATTCCACTAAGCATAATGCTGACACTACACAACATTTCTGCAGCACGCCTGTGCTCTCAATTAGCAAGTGCTGTATATGTGGCGTAAAGCTGTCATGTTACCCTCCTCAGCTGCAGAGAATAGAAACTGAATAATCAACATTTTACAACAGAGAACAGAACAATCAGCAAATCCAGTCTCACTGTGAGTTTTTTCTGTTGAATTCTTGTAACATGCTGTCTGCTGATGTAACTGCACCTGCTGTTGGAACATTTGCTCTCACCTGTGTCCTCTCCGAGTGTTGATCTCAGAAGTAGAAAGATTAAAAATGGACAGATTTTCCAGACTTTCATGTCAGCTGAAGTAATATGGGTAAATGCAAGCTGCTAACAATATATTAAGTTTTTTTTCAAAACTGCCTAATAATCTAGAATTTGTTTAAAATGTAAACAATGCAACTACATTTTTGGCAATGTTTTTGTTTTGGAACAGGCAAAATATATTCATGCCACTGAGAATATGTTCATGGTTGCAATATTTTTTTTAATTTATCCTCAATTTGCAAGTGATAGGAAAAACATCTGCAATTATATGAGACATTGTCAAAACTGCCATTCATTAATCTTCTGACAGTTGACCTCACAATAATGTGATGATATGAATATATTTATGAAAAATAATGTAAATGTTTAGTATAATATATGTATTGCAAATTATATTATATATATTACATAAATGTGTGTGAAAGTGGTTTTAGGTAACATAGCTGAGTTTATAGTGTGACATACACATCTGTTGCAGATTAACCAGACCACACAACACCTTCTTAGTGTCTCAGCTTGGACATTTTCTACTCCTAACTCTCGACTCTACTACTACTACTCTGTGTTGTACTCTTTGTGTTGTGGTCATGCACTTAAAAGCTTGACATTGTTGATTAACTAAATACATTCAGAGGCCATTCAACCCTTGCCTTTGAGACTTGGAGGGTTCATTTCTATTTATGTGAGTGTACCCACATGCATAACCATGGGCCAAAAATATGTTGCTTTGCTCTGTGGTATTATAATGATTTTACATTTCAAAAAGAATGATTGTCAGGAGACAAAAACAAAAGAGACCCCAGGAATGAAGGGACATTTAAAATTCTATTGAACTTTAAAGCTTTATCAAGACCACACACCAACTTTACAAAGAGGGTGATGCATGTATTGTGAGGTATAAAATCATAATGTTTGTAATATTGAAATATGAAAAAGGAAAACAGCAAAGACTATTATGTTTCTTTGCCTTTGATGCGCATTACTGGAGATAGTTGAGATGCATCTCTCTAGCAGGGAGAAACATGTTTAATGACAATATTGTGTGGGCTACAGTGAGGGCATGTTTTAAATTGTTAATAAGCTTCATTTGCCAAACAGTAAAGGTTGTTTGTGTGGGCTGAGTCTCAAATTCTCCACGTTGGCTAATGAAAAAAAACATCATGCTCTGGGGCTGAGAACCACAGGAAGTTGGGTGTGGGTGGTATAATGGCTTTGTAATTATTTGAGATGTTGCACTTGTAGAAAAAAAGAAACAGTGGGCACAAGGTCAAGAAATTTATTCATATTACTTTGTTGCTCAGTACAGCATCTTGCACAACATATTTTGAAATATATATTGCAGGAAAAGTACATACAATATACTACTGTACGATCAAATAATCAAACAAACAGTATGATCTTGCAAAAAATGTATAGTTTCCAATGTTCAAAACGCAGTCAATGGAATGGAATGAACTGATTTCTTTGACTTGTGCCTTCTGGTGTTGTGACTGTTAGCCTGTGGAGCCGTATCCCCATGTCTCTTACACTTCACACCACTGAAATCTGGTTAAATACAGATACAGACTCCGGTGGAATGAAGGATAGAACACATGGAATATTCTTGCAGAAAGTGTCTGAAAAAGAAGACAGAAAACTCATTCTTTATTTCCAATGTGAGATTATCGTTGTGATTCTGATTCATCCCAATTTTCCCCAGGCGATGCACCACAATAAGTGAGTTTATTGCAGGAACACAGAGTGCTAACTTTGAGGGTTTAAGCTTTACTTTCAATGTTAAGCTTCAGGATGGAGGCCGACCCTGGCACCTGGTGCAGAGCGATTGGGAATGTATGATTTATGAGGAAGCCTCCGAGGTAGAGGGGGTGGCAATGAGTGCAGCAGGAATTGGATGTTGGCCTCTCCCTTTTCTTGAGTTTAAGTTTGAGCCTGAGCCTGAGCGAGACCAGGCCTGTCCTGCTCTGTGGCTCCAGGCTTTCAGGCTTCTGTTGAAATCCTGGGCTCTGGCACGTTATCACAGGCCTGAACTGAATGACTGTTTAGTCATCAGTGATGCAACCCCACCACAGCCCTTCTCGAGCCCACCACTGCCACCAGACACCCCGGCCAGTCTCGCAATCTGTCCCCCTCAGAGTCATGCTCCTAGGGAAACATGCCAACTCAACACGAGCAACACCTGAAGCTTTCTAATAGTAATACTTTCCCCTCTTTCATGCACTTACATTCGCACACTTTTAAACACAACTGCCACCTTCCTATGCCCAAAAATCTGTTGGTCCAGCTGTATCTTAAAAACAAATGTTGCTTCTATGCACATGGTTTCTCCAGGTGATCTTATCATCCTAATAAATTCGCCACAAGAACTTTTGTAAGTTTACTTACTTAATTTGGTGACTATTAGTTATTGTAGGTCTAGACAAATCTACTGTCTGAAGTATTTTCAAGATTAGACTTTCTGTGCATAGATGAATGCCTTACCTTGCTTAAAATGCATTACTCACCTTATTTGCCTCTTTAGTTCCCCAGCGACTGTGTGAATGCAATGCAAATCAAACTACAAAAATGCTCAAAGCAATCTTCACAAGGTACTGAAGGTACAACAGACAATGTGCTATCTGTCTCCTCTCTGACTTTTTCCTCTACCTGATTCAGGTATTGGTGTTTTAGAGGACTGTGCCGACCAATAAGATACAGGCACCTGAGAAGGACCACCCTTTTTCAGCCATAAAAAGCTGCCACACCCTGCATTGTGGCATAGTTGTATTGCCAAAAATGAAGAAAAATATATAATAAACATAGACACTAGAATGAAAGAAAAGGTAGTATTCCAAAAACGGCTGTGACCTTACAGCGGTTTTAGTAAAATCATCAGTTACTTTAATCTCTTGCTAACAGACACAACATCTTATGCACTTCAATGAAATACTCTAAGGAAGGCATAAACTTACAAATGAAATAAAGGAGTTTCATGTAATATTCATCTAATAAGAGCCTTGTATTCATTATTTGATGAGTCTCTGCTATAATTTGCTCATTTCTGTCTCGCTCTCTAGGGTAAACCACATTCTTCATTAGGCCAGAGCATCTCTAAAGCATTTCAGAAGCCCTTCAAACCCATTTTCGTAAAATATTTGAATGATAATTTGCAACTGTGACAAGAAGAAATCGCTTTATATTCTTCCTCCAGAGAATCATTAAGCCCTAAAATCACTAAAATCCACACTGTAATATATTATCAAAATATCTCAAAATAACTGTGCTGTTAACTGAACTGCCATCTGTACAACACAGTGTACTTTGTTTTCTGGCAGAAAACAATCCTAACACATACATTTTATTAACAAGAAACTTTGCAGCTCTGTTCTCTAGCTGGAAGTATCCTCTTTTCAGCCTTAAATGAAAAATGGGGCGACACCCGACATCCGTCACTGTGAAAGGAGCGACTTTTTCTTTTTGAAAAGCATTCCTTTCACCCCTCACAATGACAGGGTTGGGGGGGATGGGAGAGGAGGAACAGACACATTCCTGAGGTGCACCAAGCTTCACCTGACAAGATATTTCTCTTGAGAGCACATTCATTTGAGCCCAATCTTCTTTATATGTGATTTTATTGACAAGGACACCAATATCTTTGAGTTATGAGCTGTTGTTCTCTAGAGACAGACAGTGCTTTACCTCTGTGTTCTGTGTGGGCCAGATAGCTCTGGACAGTGTGACTTGTTCGAGGTAATCTTTTGGACCTCTGGAAGGTGACAGCTGAAAAACGAGCCTCTAAAAACACTCTGCTCGAAGGCAGCCTCATGTCTGGCTTACTAACCACACAGAAAAAGACTTTGCAGGAGATTTTTTTAGCTCCACTGACCATGTAGCCTCGCTCTGTGAACTGTCTGAACCAATTGTTTCAAATGTATATGCAAATAAAAACATAATAAAACCAATTTCTTTTCTTTTCACAGCTGTACTTACTAGACACACTGGCAGCACATATTGTGCATCAAATGCATCAACTGATGTCTTCTTGAAGTCTCTGATAAAGGTGTGTGCTGTTTTTGGGGAGCTGCCTCAAATGAGATCAAAAGCCCCGGTGCTAAGGAGCAGCTCATATTCACAAAAAAAGCATTGTGTTTAGAATTTTTTTTATTGATATTACTAAAGCAATATCGCAAAAAGTGTAAACATCAAGCACTATGACAACAAGCAGTCCACAAAGCGTGTTCGCCTGTTTAACAAGCTCTGCTGAGTAGATTTGATTGCTGCTGGTTTATGACTGTGCCTTAGATCTTACAGGATTTCTGTTTTAAGGGTTCAGAATAAAACAACTTAAAAATGCTGTTCTTTTGAGTTGAATATTGTATTTTGTATCCCAGTGGGAGGCATACCTTAAAGTTGGTCAACAGTGCATTCAGTCCTGAGGTTTCTAAAAACCTGCACCTCCATCTTGCTGGAATGAACATGCAAGGTTACTGGTGAGGAAACACAGTCATTCCGAGATGGGGTGAGGGCTGAGCCCGAGACAGAGATTTGTTGAATGAAGAGGTGCTGAATTTCAGCATTATACTCCCTAAAGGCAGCAGTGGAGGCTCCGTTGAAACACATCACTGTGAGGAATTTGAACTTCAACACAGAATTCACATTTCTAGAAAGCCTCTGTGATGCATGTCATTTCCACTGTAATCAGTATGTTTTATAAAAGCACAACAGTGCCAAAATGTGAAACACGGTACTGTATTTGACATAATGCACGACATTCACATGACATGTTTTTTATTAAATTCACACCTGAACAATAATCACTAAAAACAGCTTTGTGGTTAATGTAACAAGGTCACAAATTACATTTTAAAACAAAAGACTTACAAAATCATTTATGGTTATGATTACAGTGTTAGGTGCTAACCCTGGACGTCTACTATTTTCCACTTCTGCCATTTAATTGAAGTGATAAAGTCACTTTTACAAATGAAACTGATTATTTTAACCAAAATTTAATTTACAAGATAAAAGCTGTTAAATAACTCCTGTATGATGTAGGTGTG